TAAAATTCTCATTCACATGAGTAGATTTTTGCTTTGACATGCATATAATCACCCCCTAACTTCAATAAAATTCAAGTATAAAAATTAATGATTAGCAGAACCATATGCATATGATTACATCGTATTGTACCCAGTTCATATCTTTCCGGGCATTCACATATTGGACAGAAGGGGGATCCGACCCTTGAGGATCATTACTCTTAATGAGTGAATATACATTTTGTATTCATTAGTCTTAATGAATCTTCTGTCATGCACCATATAAGAACTTGTGTAATCCTTTTTCACTGCTTATAATGCATTACTAGAGTCCCATTAAAAAGAGTATAATTAACTGTGTCCCGATTGATCAAATCTACCATTTTCAATTAGCTCGATTGAGTTGATGTCATATTTCATTTAATAATAAAATTTAAGGTTTTAAAATGATAAAATGTTTGAGTCAAATTCATACATCTGTCTGATACATCTGAAATTTTGATTGGGTTGTAAGTCCCAACTCATCTTCAAAATAAAAGCAACCTAACACTTTTAACATGCATGTGACTAACCTCATGATTTTAAAGCATAAGAAGTGCTAGTTTATTCTAGAAGGATTTTAAGTTCAGGAGAGTTAGATTGGGTTCCATTTCTTGGCAGGAATGGTAAGTCCCACTTTTCTATTTAGGTTTGAGCATGTAACTTAGTGACAGAATCCACCTTAGTTCAGGTTCTAAATTTATATGGTTGCTATTGACACAAAATTAACTTCTCTTAGGCTTTTGGATGACTTGTTTTGTCAAATATAAGTCTTAAGTTTCTAAAAATTTATTTAATTTAAACAAGAATCATAACATCAAGTTCATAATTGTAAAGCCCAACCATAAGATAGACTAGAGTAACCGCCGAGCTTCCAAGTTACAATATTTTACTAAAGCCTTTTTTTAAGCATATCATTTTCTTAAGATATAACTAACTAAATGGGTTTTCCTATTTAGGGATACGAGATTCCATAATTAAAATAAACATTATTCTTTTGAGATAGGTTAAAATTAGTTTTTTGTAGCCCAGTAGAGCAGTGAAACAATTACTTCAAGATTGGATACATTAGAGGGAAGTATTTTCATCCATCAAAATAATATATTTTTTCTTGATGTCATATTCAATCATAAGAGAAATTTCAAAATTCTTGTGTGTGATCCCCCACAGTGCAAATTAACCATAGTACTATCAATAGATTACTATAAACTCAAATAAGTTAAAACACAAATGCTCATTGGAATATAAATATTGTTAATATGTTTTTGCAATCATTTAGGGGAATAATAATTCATGGGAGTTTTTGGAGGATTAAGATGACTTGAACAAAATATGAAACATCAATACTCATTGTCTCATAACAGAATAAGAAGTTATTGATTAATATTTAATATTAGCAACAAACCCACTTGTAGTCATTCCGACTTAAACATCTATGAGCTATAGAAAACTATTAAAAAATCAAAAAACAACTTGAATTAAGCTAAAAGTTAGTATATTAGTAATTTTGATATTTTTAAAAGTAACATATTTCTATTGAGATTGATAACTCTGACTACAAAATCTAAATCATACTTGATCGTCACATATACTTGTGTGATTGATGTGGTGCTTTACTATAGTATAGATCAGCTGGGGAGTAGTTCATGCATAACATTAGAAATAAGTTGCTATTGAGCACATGTAGCCGAGTACAAAAAAGGAAATAGACATAACACCATGAAGCAGACTCAATTAGAAAGTGGAGTTGAGTTAATGAAGTCATTGAGCCTAACAGACATCCACATGCGCACAAAGCAACTGAGGCAAACACAATGAATGTCAGGCCTTTTACCCTTTCAGTTGGGTTAGTTCATGCAATTTATTTTGATATTTCTCGTCTAAATAAACATAATTAATTTGTCATAAAACTTTATTTGTATTACATATAAACACAAATTGAAAAATATTTAATTGTATGAGTTTAAAAAATTAATTAAGGAAAGTAAGAATATTAGATATGTTATAATTGCATTAGTTAAAAGTAAACATGTCATATAGTAAATATGAAGTCATTTCTTATAGAAGCATAATAAAAGAAAAAATTAAATGAGACTTGAAATAAAATACGACAGAGGTTATTATTTGGTTATAACAATGTGTTTTGCAAGCATTAATTATAAATTATGAACTTAGATTAAGTAAAAGAAGTTTAATTTATATATTTGTATGAAGCAGATAAAGTGTTGTTTAATAATAATTGTAACTAAGATCAATTAACATGAATTATATTAGCAAGGTTATTAAATAACTTATATTAAATGACTGATATCATTAAAAAAATTATTGACCAAATTAAATAATAAAATAATAGAATATATTTTACTTCAAATTAGCTTTAATTTAAAATTTATCTCTGAGTTAAATTCTATAAATGTTTAAGTTGCAGCACAAATTAGAATATATTAGAATAAATTAAAGAAATATATATGAAATGATTAATGATTTTTTTATAATATTATGAAATTTATTAAATTAAGGGTACTGGAATAAAATGACCGAATAAGTATTAAACTAATTACATTAAATAATATGATATTTGCTTGGATTAGTTGATACCATAGAGTGCTTTAGACTGATATGTTATGTTAGATGATTCAATATTATTTAAATAACTGACATTGATTCTATCTACTTGTTAATATGTATACAAATAACATAAACTTATATGAAGGACATAAAAATGTGAATAAAATGAATCATATAGAATGATACTATGTGTATGCTTACTAGTTATGATTACCTCCTTATGATTCTATCTAAAGATACTAAAGTATTTGTGCATCCTATGACAAATATAAAATATAAATGATATGTGTAATATAAAATATTGTTATTATTATATAATAGAATGATTTAATTTTTGTATATGATCATATTTGAATTGCTAATAATACATTATATGATCACATTTGAATTGTTAATAATACATATGATCTTCTATTGAATTATTTAATTTTACAAGCATGCATATTACATTTTCAATTCTCATATGTTCTTATCATTTTTAGGATATAAGTATTTATTGAGTTATTAATAACTTTAAAATATTTAAATGATTTTTTTTTTAAATGTAGTATAGTGATAAAAATAAGTAAAATAAAAGAAAGAGTTTATAGAATGTATGACCACACCATATGAATCTAGTTACATTCATAATCTATTCACCCTTAAGCCAATTTAAATGTTTTTCATTTTCAACCATTTTGATTCATTGACTATTTAATTTAAATAATTTAGAGAGAGTAATTTAAATTGAATTTATCATTCCATCTTTTTCTTTTCCCTTGGTTATTCAGGGTTTTTGAGTTTGGTCGTGACAAAAGTGGCATTAGACATAAAAATTATGTTAAGTGATATGAGTTATAGCAAAAGTGGCATGCACTTAGGAGAGGAGATGGAAGATAGAAATATGATGGAAGACGTGTCTTTGCCAGCTGTTAAAGTAAATAACAATGCTCATACCAAAATAATGGCAACGATGATACAATTGATTCAAAACTTTCGATATTAGTTGAGTGGGGAATGATTATATTATTATGTTGAACAAAATACTGAATTATTTTAAGGCTTTTGATCCCTATTATTTAAAAAAACTTAAGGACAAAAAAAAAGAGATAACAATTACTGTGTATATAAAAGAAACTAGATGGTATGAACTGCCTCGATGAAATGATGATACTGCTCACTAAATTTGCAACAGGTAAAGAAACAACAATATGGTGGTATGTGCATAATCAAGGGTTGGAAGATTTTATTAAACGATTTATAGAATTGTTTGTAATTATTTTAATAAGAATATGAAGATGATTAAGTTTATTTGGTCATTAAAAGGGGAGAAAATAGTTTTGTAGTATGTGACCAAATTTATTATACTATTGAGATATGCATCATAACTATTAATGATTGTAGAAAAGAGCTATCAATTCCTATATGGATTGAAGGTTTGAAAAGGTAGCTAGTAATATATTTTAGGAATCAATTACTATTCTTTATTGGTTGAAATGACCAAAAGGGTGATTTTGTCAAATTATTACACGCTAGAATACTCACAATAATAAAACAAAGAATTACCATTTCAATTTATAAGAATGTCCAACACACAAACATGAAAGATGAGTTATATAGGATAATATTTTAATGTAAAACTTCAAAAGGGAAAAAAATATAGAGGCTCAGTTAATTGAAATAACTTATTATATATATGAGATTATAAGAAATCCACTCTTCTCTATAATTCTAGAATTTGAAATTATAATGTAGAGAACACTCACTTTGTTTTTAGCTACTAAAATAGAGATTATGAAAAATATAACAGAGGATGATGATGTAAATTGAGAGACGATGATTAGATAATAATGGTCAAAAGACAATGATTAGACAATAATAATCAGACAATAATGACTAACGATGGTGTACATTAACGTTAGTTGTCGGGTAAAATATTAAGATTAGTTAGATCTAAAAATATTTTTTCATTTCAAATCCTCCTTTTATGCTAATAATAAATGCTTATTTATAATTTTTGGAAGCCATTAGTTATTAAATATTCAACTACATTAATCTATCAAATTTGGGCAAAATTGAGCTCATTAGAATCATTTCACTCAGATGCTATATTTGAATGTAACATATAAGATTTAAAAATCATTTGATTATTTAAATAATATTTTAAAAATTTCTTTCCTATTACAATTATTTAATTTGAGCTCATTGAGATTTTGATGAGCATATTTTTACAATGCTGAATTCGTCTTAATGAAAGTAATTTTATTAAAATTTGAGGTTTGATAAACATAATAGTATTTTAAAAAATACATAAAATTTGTGTTTGATCAAATGAATTTTAATGTTGTATTATTTAAATTATATATATATATATATATGAAATATGATATATTAATTTTTATTATTTCCTCTTCTCTTTCCATGCCGGCGGATCAGATTTGTGGCTGTCTTTACTAATCTTACCTGCGCCATATCTGCATCCATGTAGGAGTATTTAACCGCATCCATTCTACTGCATGCACGATTCGAACTTCCACATAGAAGTACAAAAGTTAATCCAACATTCCACCATTTTAGAGGTTCCGCCGCATTGGCCATCTCACAATTCCCATCGGAATTCATAGATCTACTCCCTCTTTTACCCGGGACAGATTTTTAATGGTTCATCCGCTTGGAACACCTCAATGATGTCAGAGGGCGGCGGGGGTCGCCTTGGAGGAATCGGAATCTAGGTATTTGATGGCCGCTGCAGCCGCTGGATGGATAATTGGCGCGGCTTGCGCGTGACAGAACTCTAGATCGGAGGCTCAGGTCCAGCGTGAGATTTTGAGATCTTTCGAATTGGTTTAGTCAAGATGTTCTGGCGTATGCCTGGGGCGCCGGTGGCGTCGCCTGTAAGTGTCGGAACTAATGGATAGGGTTATATCTATATCCGTGTTCTTCGAATTTGCGTTGTGATTTTCTTTTGCGGTGATGTTGATATATTGATTTTTGAATGCGGTGAGCGCTGAATTTCAAATGCTTTTCTTTGTGTTTTCTGTAACCTTCATGTTTTGAGTGAAGTGTGGTAATATTTGGTGTTTATGAGAACAGCTTCCTTTCAGGCAGGTGGTGTGTGCTAGAGTTAGACTGCTGTTTTTTTGTGTAATTTGCTGTAGGATACCCAGTAACAACATGTTCTGTGTCGTTGAATCGATGTTTTTCTAGGCTTATGTAGTTGTCTCTCCTATAGCCCTTCCGACTTGCGTATTGAAAGAGAATCTAATGCTTGGAAGCATTTATTATGAGTGATTCTGATCGGCTGCAAAACAAGTGGTTGGAATGAATCCTTTTTGCCCCATATGGCTTCAAATATTGCTTTCACCATAGTAAAATGCCCGAAATATTTTGGGATAGATTTATCCAGTTCTTCCATAATTGAAAAAACTGAAACGCCAACATGACTTTCATTAATGTTTTGCTTGCTTCATTGGTTTAAGTTTCTTGGGAACTTTTTATTATTCTCAATACCCTGGCTGTTATTTCCAATGAACTCATTCTTTATTTTTTAAACTAATTTAGCAATTTTGTGCAAATTTCAGGTGGATACTATTTTGGACAAGGAGAATTGTACTTTGGAAGAGCTGCTAGATGAGGATGAAACAATTCAAGAATGCAAAGCAATGAATAACCGTCTAATTAATTTGTAATGTCTGAATTATTTGTAATCTTATGCTTTTAGTGCTTCTCGATTTGGAATATTTAATTTGATCTCATTTCATGCCTAATTAATTAAATAATCACTCTTTTATTGAGCAATATACAGAGAACTGAGGCTTTAAAGTTTAATTTTGATTTTGATAGTTTAGATAGTTCCATTGGTTTTAGGATTTAGTTTTGGTTGTTTCATTTATTAATTTTATTAAATATTCATTATCATTATTTTCATTAGCTTTATTGAAAAATTTTGGTGTTGGCTTTATGAATCATCATTTTTCATTCATTTTTGATGAGTACTATTTGACATGTTAAAGTTTATTCTTTGCAAATCATTTTGAACAACTCATGTCTATATAGCCTTTTCTATCATTTTGATTCATTCAACCAACCGTTTGTCTAATATAATTGTTCCTTAATCTTTCACAGTTTAGCTACACATTTAGCTTGATATTCTTATAACTTGCCACATTCTATTTGGATATAAATGACTTTTTTATCGCCTAATGTTCGAAGATGCACGACACCATTGACACAATTGCGGCTTTATAGAACCTTCTTTTAAGCCTCAATGTTATCTTTTTATCAAACAATTCTTGGGACATTTTTTTCATTTTAACCATCTAAGTTCAAATTTAGAAATTATATTCTCATAAACATCGTAACTCTTTTGTATAATAGATCTAAAATACCTAAAATCTATTGCATATAGATATCACCTTATCATTTAATAATTTAATTGATTATTCACATATGGCCATTTTAGTTTTAGAGCATGACATTTTTTTAATTTAGTCTATTGACTATATTAAATGGATCCTATGTGATAACTCATGTAGAAATTATGATACAAAATTGATCCCAATTTTATCCCTTGGGGGTCATTTTGGAGCAATTTTGTATGGTTGAGAGACTAAATAAAATATAATACTCTATTACTATTTTAACTACATACAAATAATCAAGAGACTATTTTAGGATTCCATTGTTAATATCTTGTAGCCGACCCCACGTAGTGGGATTAAGGCTTTGTTGTTGCTGTGTTGTTAATATCATGCTACTAAATTCATAGACCATATACTCAATATTTATGTTATTATATCTCTAATATTTTAATTTTCACTTATTTTTTAAGGTTGTCTTATCAATTGGAGCTATAGACATAAAAATTAAAGCATCCACCCAGGAATCTCACTTTAATCATCCCTTGTAAGCATTTATATAATTAATAATAAAAAATGAACGCATAGATCATTATTGATGTAAATTTATTGTAATTAAAAATTTTCATTTCACAAATGCTTTTAATACTAGTCATTTCCATATTAAATGTATTTAACCGCATTAACGTACCTTTGATAGACATCTTTTTGTATTAATTTTGATTAAGTTAATTCCCATGTATCCTCAACTCAATAAATATCATATGAAGGTCATATCTTTACTCTCTCTTCTCCAATAATTTGCTTAACATAGAAATATTTTTCATAGTACATCTTTTGCGAGCTGCAACTAACTTTTTTCTCCAAAACCGACGTAAATTTTCGATGCTATGTTTTATTATTTTCTTCCATAGACTCATTGTATCGTAAGTTTGATTCCTTCATAAATAATATAAACTTGAAAATGATTTTTGCCTTTATATATTAGTACCAAGTTTTTCTTCTCTAATCATTTGGGATCAATTTAGTCTTCAAAAATTTATTGAAAAGCTTTGCCAGTCAAATCATTATAATATTAAACAACCTTTCAATTATTGGTCGGTTTTTCATATGGATTTAAAGCATTAGCTTCATGCATCTTCTCTCAAGTTAGGTTGGCTTCATTTTTTCGGATAAATCAATAATAACCTTTACTATATTATTCATTATATTCTTCCAAAATAAGTTCTTATCTGAAACTCTCATTTAGGAACTTCTCGAAGTAATATTTTCAATTTTTCTTGATGTATTAATCCTTAACTAAGGTTTTTGTTATCTCTATTTCTAGTGCATTTAACTTAATAAAATTCTTTGGATCTCTTGCCTTTTTGTAGCAATTTAATATATCAGAATTTCTATTTCTTTAGTACCATCAATATTATATAAATCACTAAAATTATAAATTTTATTTCGCTCACTGATTCTAGTAATATTTGTTATACTCACTGCATTTTCAAGACTTTTAACTTTCTTTTATTCATTATAATCTTCAGTATTATTTAATTTTTGTGACCATCTAAAAAGCTTACACATTTATTTTATAACCCATTGCATTCCGTATGCCACCACCATATCTTTTTATTTTTGCGATCTATTTCTTGATTCTCCAAAAAATTTTAAGACAATCCTTTTAATAGAACTTGGTATCTTCTCTCACTTCAGGTTTGGCTCATCTAAACAATTGTAATTTGACTACATCACTAGCTTTCCTTATCCTAGGGCAATCTTTTATTTTGATTTTTTTTCTTATGCTCTTAAGATATGCATCCATTGCCACTATTACCTGTCATCTTCTCTCACTGCAAGTTTGACTCAGCGAAACAATTGTAATTTGACTACATCACTAGCTTTCCTTATCCTAGGGCAGTGATTTGTTTTGATTTTTTTTATACTCTTAAGATATGCATCCATTGTCAAGAAGTTTTTTCTTTCTTTAGTAAAAAAAATATTTTGGTAATCTCATGTTTTTTACTTTTCTTAATTTATGTATTCGTTATAACCACATCATTAGCTATTGTGAAATCAAGTATTTACCTTTCTAGCCCTTATTCCATCAACATGATTCCTCTCATGACACATCCTTTTAGAATTTATATTCCTATTTAGGTTGCTGCCAACTTATATCTTCTTCCCAAGGCATGTGTTGTAGTAGTTCATTCATCTCTGTGTGGCCTGCTGCGATTCCTCATTCATCTCTGTGTGGCCTGCTGCGATTGAGAGGAAGAGACGAAGAAGGTTTGGATCGCATGAAACTTTGAGGAAGTAACGACTGTAAGCTTCAATTCAAACAAAAGAGCAATTCGGTGTAGGGCTGCGAGGGAGGCTTTCGAGTGGATTTCTATGAAGGCAGGTCGCGTGATGAATTTGTGAAGGCATAGAATAACAAAATATAATTAGCTGCGGTCTCTGCTTGCGAATGATCGTGTGGCTTTGTCTTACAAAAAGGCCAAAAAAATTGCGGCTCGATCGTGCAGTAAAGAAGATTGTGGTATAATCCTGATTTCATTGTGATTAAGGATGTTAAGGGAAGGAGATTGTGCAGGAGTTACAGAGTTGGAGCTTTTGAGGAAGATTGATCCTGAAGTTCTAAAGAACTTTGTCGGGCTCATACTGGGAGCTAGTGTCTTGACAGGAGTCACTACGTTAGCATGTGTTCTGACTCAGCTGAGTGGACTTCCAGGAAAGTGATCAGCTTTGGCTGCCTCGAGCTCAGGTCGGACAAGTGCTCAGGGGGAGACCCGCAGGTGCTACAACTCTGGAGAAGTGGGACACCTGAGCAAGGCTTGTATATAGGGCTGTCTAAAATGCTCGTTGTTCGCGAACAGCTCATGTTCGGCTCGTTAAGTAGCTCGTGTTCGGCTCGTTCGTTAAGTAAACGAGCTGAACACAAACAAATTTTTAAAGCTCGAATTATAAACGAGCCGAACACGAACTACTCTTTGTTCGCTTGTGTTCAACTCGTTTTAGCTCGAAATAAAAAATTTATATAACTATTTATATAACAATATATTACATATATTATATATATAATAATATATTATATATATTTATGTCTAAGTTTAAATCATAACACTTCATGTGACAATGTGGTTAGTGCCTTCTTTTGTATATATTTGGTTCAAGGTTAAATCTCACACTTTACGAATATTTAAATCGAGCCGAACACGAACACACTGTTCACGAGCCGATTTCGAACACGAGCTTGAGCTCGCTCAAGCTCGACTCGTTTACAGCCCTACTTGTATAAATCTATCCAAGGAGAGAGACAGGCGAATGTAGACATTGTAGAGGTCGTATTATAATTGTGGGAGCCAAAGGGGTAAAAGAGAGGACTTATGGGCAAGTCTGATGGTAGCGAAGAATGAGGGAGAGACAAGGGTGATCTTTATCAATGAGGATCACGACTTACTGGAGATGTTGAAGATGAAGCAGAGAACGACAGGTGGATGGTGAAGTCACTAGGGATGCATCCACCTTATCGTCATTTAAGGACAACACTGCTACTTATGCTCACTCAGTCAAAGATACTCGTAATACACATGCTTTTGCCTCTATATCCACCACAAGATCACCATAATGGATATTATATTCTGGTGCATCTCGACATGTGACAAATAACACTAGGGAGTTTTCCTTATATACTCATCTAGCAATTTTATAGATCATTCATACAACTGATGACACAACACAACTTGTGGTTGGTAAGGGTATAATGACGTGTACCATTTCTATAACTTGGGTATAATGACGTGTACCATTTCTATAACTTTGTCAAATGTTTTGCATGATCATTTCTTTCTAGTGAATCTTTTATTCATTAATGTCATTATTTTACATTTAAAATATATTGTTTCTTTTGATATTTCTCAGGTGATCTTCCAAGAAAAAGGGACGAGCCGGGCACTTAGGACTCGAACGTGGCATAATTGACTGAGGTACTTGGACCGAGAGGGAATAGACCAACTCTAGCATCCATGTTGAAAAGTGTTCCAGTAGGAGAATCTAGGAGAAACATCGAGGATGTGTTACTGCTACATCATAGACGCATGAGACATTTTAGTCTTAGTTTACTGAGTCGGTTGTATCCATCTATGTATGAAAACACAAATAAGGAGAAACTGGTGTGTGATGCTTGTGAGTTTGGCAAGCTAACAAGGAGCTTGTATGTTAGTTCAATGAAGAGGAGCTCTAGTGTGTTTGATTTGATACATTCTAATGTATGAAGATTTGGTCCTATTAGTTCTATGAATAATTATCGTTATTTTGTTACATTTATTGATTGTTTTTC